GACGATGGTCTGTGCATGCAGGTTGGGTGAAGAGGCAGCCCATGTGCCGTGCCTGACGCCGTGACATGACACGCCAAGTCTCTTGGGGTATTTGCATCTTGGCCTGGCACAGCAAGCGATTCTGGACTGAAATTGTGGAGAGTGGACATTTGAGAGAGTGAAAGAGACAACTGAATGGTGTGAAAATAGCCACTTGAGATGTGTGAAACGCATGACCTTGAGCTGGACCAAGCCAAATGGAGTCACCACATGTGCCGAGATCTCAATCATGTTCTTGGCAACGTGGTGCCCATGGCTCAAAGTGTTCTTCAGTTCCATTTGCTTGACGGGATGGCGCAGGCACGTTCATCATGTGATACAAACACAAACGACCAAGAAAGGTTAAGGGCATTTCGCCCATCTACTTCGAAAGTGCACCAAGTTTGTCGTGCGTGCGGCTTCGACCGTCTCCAGAACGATAGGTGACCAGCACCCGTGATGCATGACCGTGTGCTGCCCATGCGTGATTGTGAGCACGGCGGCCTGGCGAAAAAGACGCGGTCGCATTCACGTCCTGCTCACATCCGTGTCGTGTCCGTGTCATGCTCCATCTCGGCCGTCGCAGCACCACGACCTTGGACTAGCAGCGCATGCGCCAGGACCAACATCTATCGCCAGCTCACGTTGGCCTCCTTGATCACCACGATCTCTCGCACCTTGCTCACAACGCGAACCGTGCTGACAGTGTGCGCGAGCGATCGTCGCTGTGGGACGGTAAAAAACGTTCCCATCAATCTTTTGTTTAGTTTCATCACCAGGTTGTCGTCGTTGTGGGTCAACACAATCTTCGCCTTGGACTTAAGCAGCGTTTCCACGCACTTGGGCGTGATCTCGTGATGCACGACTGCGTCAGCGATGCGTCGTGAATCGCAATGCTCGCATCGCGATACCACGCACGAGCCAAACGATGCGTGTCTATGACCTCCCGGACAGGTTGCGGCCCTTTCTACACACCTCCGAAAGGTCCTCACTTGTCATCCGAGCACATGTAGGCAACAGGCCGCATGCCTCGAGTACCCGCGCGCATGCACAAGTTGAACGGCGACCGAAACACGATGGTGTCTCGGTCACTCTCTTCCTGGATTCACGGTTCCTGCAATACGTACGCAATGAATCCGCAGACACCGGTCGTGCCCTCGACCTCGTGCATCTCGCCGACGATCCCAGACTCGATATGCCCCTTCTAATCTTGCCGTGGATTACGATGAGGTTGCCGCGGGACTCTGCAAATTTCACGACGGCCACGCCCTCCGTCCCCCCACGTGAACTGGCCGTTGTCGATAGAAATTGCGAATTTGCCGGTCGAGGCCGTTGCTCTGTCAGTGGGACGGCTGATTGAGGCAGAGTGCATCCGTGGCTGGAGGTTGTACGCTAGAGTCAAGAACGCGCTGCTCTAGTGACTCCATGGCTTCAACGACCACCATAATGGCTATCTGGGATCTCTCGCATGGGAGTCTTGACGATTTGGAAGAGTGCCAAGGACATAACGATTTTGGATGCAGACAGGGGTAGGCCCAGCTCGTTTGTGAACAACCCGCGAACGACGACATCGCGACACACAACGGGGTGACCCATAGCAGTACAACCGAGACCGCACCGCTACAGGACGGACTAGCCGACGTCATGATGAGCTGAGACCTTCTCGCGGCAATTCAGCTCCCATCCGTGGACCTGCACGACCAAACGTCGCTCGTCGCGGACGGATGACACCTTGTTGAACGCACGGGATTGAATGGTTGAGACGCAACCGCCCAAAATGAGACTGAGCACGAGCATGGCGAGTCCTGCAAAGGAAGCCGCGCCCAGCATTGCAGACAAGGACAGCACGACAAACATTTGGATCCGCGTGTTATGGAGCGAGGTGATTCCAACCATGTACACGTTGGACAAGACGGGGGGTTCGTCCGCCTGGACCGTTGCCATGGGTACGAGTCGCTGGAAGAGCGCGCCTTTTAAAGAACGCAAAATGTACTGGCCAACGTGGACGCAAAATGTTGCCGTGCGCATTATCGATTGCCGAGCACGTCGTCAAGAGCCGCCATGTTCGACCACAAACGGAGTGGCTCGCTTTAGCCACGAACATTACAGCTAACCACCGGCAGAGCGCAGTAGACGACCGCTCACTCTTCGAGTTGACAAACGCAAGACAATTGCCTCCACCGGATCGAACATGTTCAAGAAGAGACCTGACAGTCTCGCCAACGCACACCATGCACTATACACGTCGACACACGCGCGAACGACAGATTTCGAGCGCTCAAATGCGGATTCGTGTTGGTTTCCCCCAGGTTGATGTTCTAACGTCGATCTCGTGGTCCAAGTACACGAGCGGCGTGCACCACCTGAAGTAGAGTAGGGATAACCACGAGGAAGCTTGGGTGGACGGATGGTGTAGTTGCACTAAACGTGGCGTCCTTGGGTTTTTTGGGTGCCAGCATGGCAAACTCCACCATGGCGTTCTGTCCGCTCGACATCATGCGGCACTGCACAGGTCAGAGTTACGGTGGTCGGTCGGAATTGGGCGAATCTGTCCAAATATTTCCTCATTTTTTCAATTGCAGTATCCATCAAAATAGTTCTTGAGGCCAAGTGAGAAAAAAATACCGCAAACTATGGATACTTTCTATGTAGTGCTGCTAAATGTATTCTAATGTTCGCCACATCGTGAAATATTGGTGAGTCTATTTTAAACGAGACAGTATCCGGATAACTTTTCTCGACCGACCACGACGGATCTTTCATTCTTGAAGATACACGAAGGCGACGACAATGCAGTGTCCTTCCGAGGGTTCGCAGACGCGGCGCCGTGAATCGTGCGAGAACGAACGATTGTTCGCAAATGTACACGTTCAAGTTCATGTCAAGCCACCATTGCGCCGCAAGAAACGATGCCTCACAGTGGACGTGGACGATGTCGCAGTGACACCATCGGACCAAACGGAGAACGCGTGGTGGAAGGTTGAGTACACTCTTCCGCCGTCAGGGCATCTTGGTGCTCATCGGACGATCCAGCCGAAGGACAAGTTCATCGAAGCATGTCATCGCACTCTGTTTGAATCGACGCACAGCGGCGTCCGGATTCACTCGAGTGAGATCTCAATCGTACCTTCCCTCGACATTTGCAAAAACAGTAGTTCGTCGACTGTCCCGACTTCGATGCGTCCGCTGAAGAGGCGGCGGTCTTCTCGTCAACTCGATGATGACGATGCCCCCACTGAGCTGCGGCCGCGGCGTCACTTCCAGCACGTGATCGAAACCCTGGAGCATGAAGATTGCAACATTCTCTTATACACTCATTAATATTTCACACTAATTGGAATCTTACACTATACTGATCACACGTTTCAGAATTAGGTGAGGCATGGAACCGGACGCGGCGGTGACGGCGTATCGGGACTGGTCTGCGGCGAGCGTATTCGGGTCAACTGAGCAAACTCCACGAATGCATGTTGCCCCTCCATCGATATCACAGCATCATGCACATCGTGCGTTGCCAGTGCAAGTCACGTCATCTGTAAACACGTGGAAGGTTCCCCAGAGCCGGCCTACACCACCTCCCCGACGAGTTCAGCCTCATCCGTCCCCTCGTGCTGTTCTGACACACACGACGACTCATTCGAACGCAACTGTGACTGCAGCAGCTACCCTGATCCAACGAAGCATGCGAGTCGGGTTCTTTCGTCTACAAGCAGCGCGTTATGCCGCCCAAGTCGACGGCATGACACGAACACTGCAAGACATGGCTGTGCGCACATTGCAATCAAGTTTTCGACGACATTTGGACAAGGTGAAGCGGCAGAAGTGTCGGAATCGACTGGAGACGTGGATGCTTGGACGATGTCGCCGACTTCAATTCCTTCGTCTGATGGACATACGACGAAAAGAACACAAAGAATTCAAGCAACAGTGTTCCTCTGTGGAGTGCATGCAGAGCTGGTGGCGGCGACACCACCTGCATCGCCACCAGTCCATCGCGGCCACGACAATCCAGTGTTGCGCTCGTCGACATGCCGCACGGCAGCAGCATCGTCTCCGTCTAAGGTATCGCGAAGGTGCAAGGCGAACGACGGAGTGTTGGAGGTTGCATGACCTTCACAGAGGATTTCGACAGTTGACCAGTCACATGGAACGAGAACGAAGACGGCGGCGGAATTTGGCGAGTGTCACGATTCAGCGATTGTTTCGGGGGCATCGGAGCCGTCGTTGGGCACAGGAGTTGCGACGGCATCGCTTTCAGTGTTCCAATTGCGGGCTTGTTGAGCCTGGTGGGTTCTACTGCAAGGGATGCGGTCGCCCAAAGGGCAAACGGAGCAAGTCTCGCAAGAATGTGGCTTACCCACCGCCGGAAACCACGGTCAGTCCACGGATGAGCTTGGCGCCGATGACTGGACTCACTTTACCCAACGTTCCCCCCGTGCTTTCGTTTCGATCAACATCAATCGCACGTGCAAAGTCGCGCGTAGCGGATAGCGCCATGCATCGTGCAGCGACTATCGACATCAAGGAACACCTTCGCGGCGAGAAGGCGGCGCGCATGATGCTGACACGTCTACAACGGAGCAATCAGTACTTACATCAGACGAGTTCACCTGGGAAACCCACCATGGGGCGATGACAATCCGGGAATATGAAATGTGTTCAAATACGTGCAAAAACACACAGAAATTATGTGATTTCGTAACTGTTTTTTGCAATTTTAAAATCATGAAAATCAAAAGTCGCTGGTGAAGATTGATACAAAATCTTCTCAAAATGATACATTCATAGGGCTGCTTCAACTTGTGTTGGAACGGCCTCATTCAAGTTGAAGGTGGGTTCATCTGCCATTTCTATTCATGCATCTCGTAAAATGAACACTGCTGATAATAAAAGTCAGATATTTTATTTCAACCACGAAATCTACCGAACGGCCGTTCCGAAGCTTGAACACGATAACGTTGCATTTGCCCATTTCCATCACGAATGCGTTGCGCGTTGAGGCACTTCACCATGGCGGCGGCAATTGCCGCTGTTCAAGCATGCACGGTGATTGTTGCCGGCAAGAATGCAACCGTGGATGGCACCGTGCTCGTAGCCCACACCGAGGACACGGGACTTGGGGCAATGGACTTGCGCTTGGTGCGTGTTCCCGCGATGGACCACGCCGATGGGTCTACCCGCAGCATTTACTCATACGCTCGTCCAGGATATCCTCGCGTTGTAACTAACGAACGCGGTGACTGGTACAAACCCGTGGACGATCAATCGTTGTCGACGCCGCTTGGCCGCATCCCTCAAGTCCAGCACACGTTTGCGTATTTTGACCAGGACTACGGACTCATCAACGAGAAGCAGCTGGCCATCGGTGAAAGTTCGTGTGGCGCCAAGACTGTCGGGTGGCCATTGGGGCAACCTGGAGGAAAGAACTTGTTTAGCATCAACGAACTGACGAAGATTGCCCTCGAGCGGTGTGACAACGCGCGATGTGCAGTCAAAACGATGGGCGACCTAGCCGTCGAGTACGGCTTCTACAACGACTTTAACGGCAACTCAACGCACCCTGTGTACATGAGCTCGGGCGAAGCGTTGGCGATTGGGGACAAGTACGGCGAAGCGTGGGTATTCCATGTCCTGACCGGGCCTGACAACAGCAGCGCCGTCTGGGCTGCACAGCGCATCGAGGATGATCACGTGTCAGCCATCGCGAACGGCTTTATCATCCGCGAGATGGACTTGGCCGACAGTACTCGATTTCTTGCGTCGACGAATGTCCACACGTTTGCACGGGACCAGGGTTGGTGGGACCCCGACATCGATGGCCCGTTTGACTTCACGGCTGCGTATGGGTATTCCAAGGAAGGCCCGCTTCTTCCGCTGTACGTCGGCCGCCGTCTGTGGCGCATAATGGACGTCGTGGCGCCGTCGCTGGAGCTTCATCCCGAGCTGGGATTCTACCCGACGGTGGCCACATACCCCTTGTCGGTCCGACCCGACCACCCGATCTCTGTCACGGACGTATTTGCCCTCCTTCGGGACCACTACGAAGGCACGCCTTTCGATTTGACACAAGGCATCGCAGCAGGTCCGTGGGGCAACCCAAATCGCAATGGTGGCACCACACATGGCATTGACGGCGGCTGGGAGCGCGCCATTTCGCTTGAGCGCACCGTATACAGCTTTGTACATCAAACATCCCCTGCCGCTCCATTTGATGCGATCGGCGGAGTCATGTGGTACGGCCTGTCGTCTCCGCACGGCGCTGTCTACGTTCCTTTTTCGTGTGCGCAATCCACAGTACCTACGTCCTACACGACTGTGCTCCAGAGCCAGTACAGCCGCGAGTCGGCGTGGTGGGCGTTCAACTTCGTGAACAACTGGCTATCGTTGCGGTACAACGTAATGTACCCCGAAGTGCTGGCCAAGCTCACGGCACTTCAAGAGGATGCGATCGATCGGTACAAAGCGTCTCGGCGTTATTTGACGGACCACGCGTCGACCATGGCTGCGACGGATGCCATCTCGTATGTCGAAGCCGCGCACAATGCGTTTGCGGCAGACGTCGTGGCAGCCTGGTGGTCGTTTAGCGACCATCTCGTGAGCACGTACAACGGTGGCGCGATCGTCTCGGGCGAAGATGTAGCGAACCAAGTCTCGATTCCTTACCCCAAGTGGTGGATTCAAATCACGCAGTTTTCAGTGTGGCCAGGCAATTCGCTCCATGTGCCCGTGTCTCTCCGCGCCAAGTACCACATGAACGATGGGACTGGGCTTGGGGTTTCGGTCGTCCTTATGGGGATCTCCGTCGTGGGGCTCATTGCCATGGGCGCCATTCTCTTCGGACATCGGCGGCATCGCCAGTACATGCAATTACCCTGAGGGGACATTTGAACCATGTGACGAATTGTGTACATCCATGGAAGTTGCGGGGAGATCCTTCCCTGTAAAATAGGCGAAAATAATGGCAAAACAGCCTCCATTTTTCTGCATTTTTTACAAAAGTTTTGAAACCATGCTGCCGATATTTGCAGGTTCCGCCAATCGGCAAATTCATTCGAACGTGCTTGAACGAACATGGAGATGCCACCACCAGTATCTCGTCCACCGGCAGCCGCCTCGAAGGCCACGCCGCCTCGCTTTGAGGAGACCTTGACACTGGAGCGACTTCGGGAGAAGATTGAGCACTTTGCGGACGAACGCGACTGGCACAAGGTGACGGAGACACATTGCAGCATGTTCTGACCGTGTGTGGCGTAGTTCCACACTCCTCGCAACTTGCTGCTGGCCATGACAGGAGAAGTTGGCGAAGTGTGCGAGTGCTTCCAGTGGCGAAACGATGATGGGCAAGACGTTGACAGTACTTTTCAAAGATGGTGGAGTCTGGGTGTGTTCTCAAGTCGATGATATCACGTAGCGTGGACTGCAGAAGACAAGGAGCACCTTGGCGAAGAGCTCAGCGACGTCCTCATCTACCTCGTTCGTTTAGCAGGTCCGATGCATCTTTCCCGCCGTCGTTTGAGCTTTACAACCCGCGTGTGATTTACGAATTTTTCAGATCGGTGCAACATTGACCTGCCGACGGCGGCATTGCGCAAAATGGAAAAGAACGCCATCAAGTACCCTGCCAAACTCGTAGGTTGCGCATTCCAGCGCTCATTTCGTTCTGACTGCAGCATCATGTGCCATAGGCGAAGGGCAGCTCGCTCAAGTACACGGCCTACACATAGCTGCATTCGGCGATCGATTGAATGCACGATCCGGTTCTCTGCAAGTGTTCGCTCGCTGTCCACAGGCTGCACCGAATTCATTTCCTCGCTGCCCTGTGCAATATTTCCTCACTATCGGAATCGCTGCACCGCAGCGGTAATAGCGCCGATGGGCGCGCGGCGGTCCTTTGCGGACGCATCGCCTTATTCGTCCACCCAATCCCCCCGACAGTCCTTCACGTGCGATGCCACGACCTGTGAGGCATCCACCCGATTCCATGGCGCATGCTATGCTCCCGACGGAGCCTCTCGACGACAGCAGCTCGCTCGCCAGCCACGTCCGAAACACATGACCAGCATCATACACTCGCTTTTAATTGAATTGCATGGGCATGTTGTTCTGCGGGACTTTAAAAGGTTTCCGCTGCATTAATTCTTGGCATTGTGGGCGCTGCAGCTGCCACTGCCGCAGGTGTCTTTGCTGCTTCGTCGGGCATACCGCCGGAGGAGGTCACTGCGCTTCTGCGCGTCGACCGAGTCCGACTTGAGTGGCACTTGGTACCCTGTTTTGCCGCGAATCGGGTCGATCTTGACTTCGCCGAGGAGTTCGGGGCACGGGACAGCGCCTTCGCCAATCTTTGCGCACGTGTCCAAGAGGTCGTATGCAATCGTGGACGTCACGACCGAGTCATGCGCGTAGTCGGGGTGGCACTTGACAAAGCGGCGCATCCACGTGGCGGCCGTCGGGAGTTCACCCGTCGCGCGCTTGGCAATGAGGCTCAAGTACCGATCGATCAGGCTGCGAGTGACGTCGTCGCACTCGATGTGGTCTAGGTATGCGTTGACGAGGGGAAGGAGACCAGGGTAATACGACCCCTTGCCCAACATGATCTCGGCAATCGTCATCGATTCAAAGCTGTCGCTTCCGTGAATGCACTTGCAGTGGGTCAAGTCTTTATTGTCGCATTGGACGTGACAGCCGGCGTTGTGGCACTCGGCGGCGTCGGGGGGCGCCAGGTGGCGGCGGAAAAAAAAGGTTTCGTCGACGGCGGCATTCACGCGGTGGGCAATCTCCATGTTCGCGTTCACTTTCGACAACGGGACGTACAGGTTCAGGTCAAAGGTGAGGATGACGCGGCTCACGAGCGCAATGAACACGCTGAACGCGGCGTTCTCAAAGTCCGTGAGTTGAATCTCCATCGACCGAAACTCGGTGCGCCATCCAATGTGGTTTCGCGACTCGGCCGACGAAGCGGCCGGCGGAGGCTTCCACCGCACGGTCTGCCAGTTGGTCGACTGAATGTTCTCAAAGTGGTCGGTCGCGACCTTGTTGTCGAGATGCAAGCGCTGCTCAAAGATGACGAGCGGGTCGCGGATGAACAAGTGGGCAATGTGCTTAGCCAAGATGTCGTCGACGCCGTTGGCCGTCAACGTGGCGTACGACGCTTCATCAAACGGGATCTCGACGTCGTTGTAGTGTTCCAGCGAAGCACTCGAGTCCTCGCCGTGCTTGTGGTTGCAAATGAAGGCCGAAATGCCTTCATAACGGCTTTTCGGCAGTCTCTTGACGCCTTGACCGGCCATCTTGGCGTACGACGCCGGCGCGGTCTCCGGAGCGGCAAGTCCCATCTCCTGTGGAGTGCGGTCGTCGACAGACGCAGCGATCGTCGCCCATCGAACGTCCGTATCCGCCAAGCGGCCCTTCAGAATTGGCGTCGCGGCCGTTAGCGCCAGCATAATGGGACTGAGCACGCCGAGATGGTCGTACAAGTGCCGCGACTCGCCGATGTTCTTCGCCTGGAACGTCACTTGAAGGCAGCACATGCCCATACCGAACGCCATTGCATCCATGTGGATAAATCCGGGATGCGGCTCGACGTGGTCCAGAGGTTTTGGCGTCGACTTCGATGAAAAAGACGCGTGCCGACGCGTCGGGCACTGTGGGCACGGAGGAGGAGACGTTGGCGCCTTGCGTGGATGGTCGTCATCAACGGGGGGCAGCAGCGCGGGGCGGGCGTGTTCGGCCACCCACGCCGCCTCGTCCTCGAGCAATTCGTCCGTAAACACGTCCTTAAACAGCGGCACACGGATGTCGATCTTGCGGGTGCGGCGCTTACGAATGTTGGCCGTGAGGGCGCCAAATCGAGGATGAGGATTGATGATCGAGTCGCTGATGTACTCGGAAGCCGCGATGGGACCGCGCCGTTTTGTTGGAGGTACGGTGACATCTTCGCCAACTCCCAAGAGCGGAAAGGCAGTGACCGTTGGACAGATCTCGTTGTCTTTGAGGACAGAAAGAAGGCGAGCGCGGCGTAGGCGCATGCTGGGCTCGACACGTCGGAGGTCGGAGGAAAACCCGCCGTATGGTGTACTCGGTGTCGCTTCCACCATCCACGCTCCGTATTCGGGGACCCAGTTGCATCCTTCTTCGACATGGTCCTCGCGATGGAATTTCTTCTCTTTCTCCAGCAATTCATTCAGGATTTCAGTCGCGCGCAACGACAATTTGGCGGTCTTGGTGTCGTCGTCCAAGACAAAGATGCCGTATTCGAGTTCATCGCCCCACTTGAGGACGTCTCCCGTTATATCCTTGACGCGATGGAACGTCTCCAGGAACTGCAGAATGCCATTGTGACGGACGTGGTTGAGCCATTCCAGCGCATCTTCCCATGGAAGCGGCGTGCCGACGACAAGAAGCCCCATGCTTCTTTCCCGGCGTGAGATCGAGTGGTGGTTTTGCCGACTGACCCCACACGTTATCGTTGTGTCATGGATACAAAAGTTTGAATTTAATTGACTTCCGGTTTGTATACTTCATAATAAAAAGGAGGTTCAAGCACTCTGATTGGTTCATCGAGTGATGACTGCACTCAAATGTTAGCTCAATCAGCCACCGAAGCCATCACGTGCCTAGAGCCGCCGAGCTGCCGGTGGACGGGGCGCTGCGAGCACTACAGCGGCGCACGTCGACGTGGGTAGGCAACGCTCTATGAACCAGGTGGAGAGGATTGGCGGCGCGGCGTCCTATTTGCGTCGTGCTTCCATGCGATGACGCTGCCGGCGATGCTGACAGTGGTTCATCGTAATCATAAACAGGTTGGTCAACACGTTCAATGCACGGTTCTGTCGTGTTCCAGCGCGGCATGGAGCTTGTGCATGCTTGATGGCTTAGAAGCACCGGGCAGTGGTGTGATGCGAATGCAATAGCGACGATTTGAACCGCTGGGAGCTGGTGACTTGTCCTTGGTGCTCCAGTGGTGCTCACCACAAATCTCCGGTCGAGTGGAAAGTGCACACAAGATGCCACGTCATATTGCAGTATGAGTATACTATCATGATCGACAAGGCTCTTCACGTGATGGCACCCAAAGCATCTCGCACCAGTCGTTTTCGACCTTCAAGTTACGAGGGCAACCAACCGAATCAGACGTGTTACGCCACCTAAAACCGCGACGTTTGCATGTCAAAGGAGGCATTTTCCGCAAGAGCGTGTGTACAAGCGTCGCCGGCAAACGCCATGGCATGGAGAAGCAAGCGGAGCCCGGCGCTCAAGTTTCGTGGATGAGAATGGCACTTGGGTTTCAATGGCGCGATGGCGATGCCGCCGGGCCGTTGCTGCATATTCTTGACAAAGTCCACCACAGTTTTGGGCATGCATAGAACTAAACTTCCCTGGTGCCAGTGGAGTTGGGGTTGCAAGAATCCGTAGCCTATGGCGAAGGAACAGACAAGCGTGGAGTGGTAGTGGCTTCATCCTGCGTCCGCAACGAATCGGGTGAACGAGGAAAGTATGATGATGGGATAACAAACTTCGCTGGGGGGCGGCTTCGATAGCCGCTTCATTTCATTTCATGGTGCTCCTGGTCGTAGTTGCCAAGTCCAAGGCAGACGAGAGCCATTCGAGTTTAGACGACAGTTTTGTTTCGTGCGTCGTTCTCTGAGGGAGCGCGTTGTCACCCCATCGATCCTTTGCAGTGGTTCATGCAACCGACCAGTGGTGTCATCCTGCTTTGCTAGGATGTTGGCGCAAAGAGTACCCGGACAAGGCTGCCGCATCGCTCGCTGGCGTTCCCCATGGACTGGGAAAGACAGCATGCAAACATCTTGCTGTCACGTGAAATTCTAGATTCTGGTTGGCCAGAGATCTTTGTGATTCGACGGTTTTTTAGCCTATCACATTGCCTTTGACTCCCGCGGGGCGAACATAATTCCGCCAATGATGCTGTGGTATTTCAATAAAAAGTAGTATGATTGGATAATATTTGACGTTTGTCGCAAACATCTTCGGTGATCTGTCCGATATCGTGACGAGAGGTGTTTGATCCGGATGTTGACACACCCATCCGGATACCCTGTCCTTTGGCGGGCTGGCCAATAAAACAGCGCAATTTGGTTCCCATCCCAGCGAACGGACGAACATGCACGCGTATTGCGGAGGCGTCGGTAGGCCGTCTTGAGTCCTGCGGTCTTATGACACGTGTCTAGGCATTGCGCTGCATCTCGCATCCGTCGTTATCCTCGCGTACGTGCTGGTCTCAACAACGTGGACGTCTGCAACCGTCGTTGGAACAACTCATTCTGTGCAACTCGCTTTTGCCCCATCACAATTCTGCGTCGACAACGCCTGCTCAACGTACGCCTCGGCTTACGCGCCCCAGTTTTCACCACGTCAAGGCAGCCACATGGAGCAAGATGTACTCGATGTCTTCTGTGGCACCATGATCCCTGTCTCTCACAAGTCGAACGGTATCTTCGACTTGTTTGCAAGAGCCGCTGGACAGAACGTATGCATCGCGGTGATGGAGAGTTGCCACGCACTTCTCGTAAGCATGTTCACGCTTGCAGTCATATCTGCAGGGGGAGCAACCCTCTGTGTGACGTATTGGACGCATGAACACCAAATAGGTCGTGTGCTCCTTGCCGCCCTCGTTGTGTCCTTTGTCCTGCATGGTGCTGTCGTGTTGTTGTGGACTCCTTACGCAACCCCGACGTTTTCGCCGACCACGTTCAGCTATGGGTCCGTGGAAGTGGAGATGAACGCGCCGTTCTGGACCGTCGTGTTCAACAGCTGCGTTGTCTTGACGGCGTCGATGTGGTTCACATACCACCTCATCTTGGATCAACGGCGACGTTACCTCAACCGACGGCACGTACACCAGCTCGGCAAGCACCCGCTTGACTGTCCAGCTTTATATGCGTAGTATGCTCACTGCTTCGTGCTTCGTCGACACGTCCCACCGCGCACGCTGCGTAGCGCAATCCTTCATTTTCAAATCAGCCAATCAGAGAATTCGAGTTCGTCTACAAAAACAAATTGAAAATTGAATGAAATTCTGGCCATGCACATTCAGAAATTCAACGCTTCCAGAGAATTTTTCACTGAATTTTGACATCATTTCTCCAGCCAATAAGGTTTTACCTGGGTGCACGTACGTTGGGAAAAGTGCTCAACATTCGGTCTTCTGAGCCAGGATTATTTGTTTGCTGTCTGCACCCGAGAGGCAGCAATGTGGTCAGTCCACCCGACGCGGTTGTCTCTGATACAGACCTCGCGCCCAGGTGGAACGACGGAAGATGTGCTACGCAGCAGAGGCGTGCAAGCTCGATGATCTTGCCAAGGGGTTGTCTGAGCCATTGGCTCTCCCACCAAGAACTGTGCGGAATCCCATATGCCCTCGCCGTTCGAGTACGTGATTCGAACAAACCCGACCGTCAAAATACATGGACGTCACCGAAAACCCACCGGGAAGTATCTATCATTGCACGACCAAATTAATTAAAGGATGGTGCGTTATGTTCAAGTTTATGTACTTGATTGTGTAGGTAAATATATATATAATATATATTCTCCCAAACTACAAGAGCATCACCGACAACACCCAAGGCCTCGAAAAGTTGACATACAATTTCGGCGTGGAATAGTAGGCTCCATCTGCGCCATCACCACCCATACGCCATTACTCGCGTCCTGTCGACCGCGAAGTGTCGACGGTGCTTGGTGTGTGCTCGATGACACGCCGCTGGGTGGGGGTGCACGAGTGTGCAGCCAGAAGCCCACCAAAAAATATTAATAGAATTGAAATATTATTATTACAGGCGACCGCACGAAGGGAAGGCGGAAATACGTTAAGGAGGGGTAGTACCGGCGGGGTTGGTCGATGCAGCAGCGGCGGCTTCTTCCTGCATCTCGCGGATGTGGGCTGTGCACATGCCGTTGGACTTTTGGAGCTTCTTGCAGTCGGCAACGGTGCACAGTTTGCCACGACGATGAACTTCGCAGTACCCTCCGCCCCGGTCCGTTCGTGTGCAGTTCTCTTCGTGACAAGATCGGAAGCCACCGTGTGTGGCGCAAAAACTGCCGCGTTGAGCACCCTTCATGCACCCTGCAGCCTCGCAACGACGACCACCGCCGTGAGACCGGCAGTATCCACGACCTTGCGAGCTCTTGATGCATCCCTCGGCCTTGCAGCGCGAACCACCGCCATGCGCCTTGCACAAACCTTGGGATTGTGCGGCGTTGGTGCAGTTTTCAAACGAGCAACGCTTGCCGCCACCATGTCCAATACAGAATTCGCCGTTTTGCGCACCTTTCCCGCATCCTTCAACACTGCACTTGCGACCGCCGCCATGCGCTTTGCAAAGACCTTTGGATCGAATGCGTTTGGTACAGTTGGGAATGCGGCAAATGCCCTTGGGGGTCGACCCGCCAGCATTGTACGGAGTTCCACACGATGAGTAAGGAGTGCCGCACTGGGAGTAAGGGGTACCGCATTGCGAGTAAGGTGTGCCACAGTTCGAGTACGACGTCCCGCAGGTCGCGTAGGGTGTACCGCAGTTCGAGTATGGTGTCCTGCAGTTCGAATACGGCGTGCCGCAGTTCGAGTAAGGAGTGCCGCAGTTTGAATACGGGGTCGACGCATTGTTGTACATTTGCTCGGATCGGACGAGGAACGAGTCCTTCTTGTGCATGGGAGTTTCGGAGTGGAGAGAAGGAACTACGTCCAAAGAAGGTCGCGAGAGCATGCTTCTTGTGGGCTTTTCAAGCGGAGCGACCGATGGCCGCTGCGGAATAGTGTTTTGCGGGGTGCTGACGGCAGTCATGTTGGGAAGGTGGAAGAAGCAGTCTTGAGAAGGTGCTGCCGTCGATGACGCGGCGTGAAGTTGCTGCATCTGTGCTTGTTGCTGCGCTTCGAGGAGCAAGGTATCTCCCAAGAAGAGGATTTCGTCCAGCGAAAAGGCGTCCATCATGAGCACAGGTCGTTGGGTAAGGCTGCAACTTGGGAAGTGAGCCCGCGAGTTGTCGGCGTGCTTCTGCAACAATGCGACCACTCCAGCATCGTTCCATCTGGAGAACTGCTTCGACGCTGGATCTGCCACCGTAACTCACATGACACGTGCCAGCTGGGATCTGGGAAAAACTCCTCATCACGACGAATTCATTTAAATACGTCCTTTGGTGGGTGATGCCAACCATTGCTTGGTTTTTATAGGCCTTCGTCGGATCACCTGGCCAAAATGCCTTGATACGGAATTTCCTCGCCGTCGGGGCCTTGGTCCCGGCCGCATAAGTTACGGGCGCCGCGATGCTGGCGACACTTCCGTATTGTCCTGCCACCACCACGTTGCCCGCCACATCCTGAATCCATTAGCCAACACGATGGTCATCTCTCGTTGGTAGCTAGGATAGAACGACACGCGCGGCAGAAGGAACGGCGCCATGCGCATCGTTCGATTTCCTTTGTGCGCGGTTGCAGCCTGTCGGTTTCACGAACGAGGAAAGTGCCCATGAAACGCCACTGTTTGATCCCGAAATAAAACAAATGTGGGAAAATTCCCAACGAAACGCCACGTGACCACATTGCAAACCAAATTTGTCACGGCATGCAGCGGGGGAGCGCGAGATTGGACGGCGGACAACGATCTCGTCTGGCACGGCAAACCGCGCCATGTCGATGGGAAATGTTGCGTTTGAATGGAGCGTCTTCGTCGATGGACCATTCATGGAGATGATTACGGTGGTTGTAGCATGTCCACGCGCATGCGGACCTGAAAGGAACAATTTGTTTTGGTGCGGGGGTGATGGGACACAAGACGACTGTTATCTGGTTCGTGTTGTGTGCTTGGTGCCCTGGTGGTGGTGGTGTAGCTTGCACCCACACCCACTACACCCTGGACAAGCCCTGTTGATTGCTCCGACATGGGGCGCTGCGTCCGTTGTTGGTTAGATATATTAGGTTGTCGAGTGACGATTGCACAGAGATGCTCGCCCAGGGAGGGGGCGCAGGTAGTTGGGGACTTTTTTCACGAGATCATCGTGATTGAGGTAGCTCGAGGGAGACGAATGTGGTAGACCGAGTAGTTGCTCGTTAGACTAAGCAAACCACGGATGCTGTAACGCTTCTTGAGCTGTAAAGCGTTTTGATGGCTCTTTGGACAATATGTTTTGCAAAAGCGCCTTGGCTACGTTGGCGTCAACGACCAGGCGTGATGCTTTGGTACAACAGCGACGTACCGTGGATAGAAATGCCAGTCCACGAGTCGTCTTGGTCCACACACACGTCGGCGTGGAGGGTCTTTTGGATGATGTCGTTCTTGGTTTTCCCGTGGAATGGCAATTCGCCGCGAAGGAGAAGGTACATGATCACACCCAACGACCACACATCGGCTTCCTTGCCATACCCAACTAGGGACAGGACTTCTGGCGCAACATAGTTGAGAGTTCCGCATGGCATCTTCATAATCTCATGCGGGTACACGAGTTTCGAAAGGCCGAAATCCGCGATGCGCAGGTCGGTCAACTTGTCTCCGCACAGAATGTTCTCTACAAGAATGCCCGCCATCACAATTTCAGTCGCTTGCATGTAAAGCGTTTCTTGTGGAGCAAAGATCGAGTGCAACGAGCTACCTGGCTTGATGTCACGGTGGACGATGCCCATCTTGTGGAGGTATGCCACGCTTTCAAATAGCGGTTTCATGACCGTTCGAGATTCCTACGAGCCAATCAGAACACTTCAAAGGTCGAGGGTGAAACACCGCTTCAGTGTACCGCGAGCGGCCAACGATCCTGTTGAATAGCTCGCCGCCAGTCAAGAGCTCCGTGACGATGTAGATGTGGTGTTTGTTCTCGTACACGTCCTAGTATGTACACATGTAATGAGGTACGTGTAAGCGGGGAGGGCACTCACCTGGAGATGAATAATGTGCGGGTGCTTAACAAGCTTCAAGATTGCGATCTCTGTTCGCAGCAACTCTTTCTCTGTGGCCCCCAATTGTGTCTTGTCGATGATTTTGACAGCAAACACCTCGTTCGTCACGAGGTGGGTGGCCTCCCGCACGTGGGAGAACCGTCCTTTCCCCAGCTCACGACCAAGCGAGTAGAATTGGTCAATTGACACTTTGCAGCTTGCTCGCTGGAGCTCCGTGACCCATTCATCTCTGTCGACAACAGTCTTTGCATACAGAAATCGCTTCTCTTCCGTAGCACCAGCGTCTGACGTCAGCTGAAACGCGAAGAACCCTTGCTTTTCCATCGAAGGGTTCGTTGACACCTCGACATATCGTCCCGACACGAAGATCACGCCTTTTGGTTTCGTGTCTCCTTTCGTCCTGCGTATACCGACACGAATCAGCCCACTGAACACGATGCAGACGTCGTTCGTACGCGTAGTAGTACAGAAAATTCCCTTGGAGTGCATAATACCGCCGCTTCATCTGCTTAAGTCGAGTCCCCTTCTTCCACAAGTATCCTTCGTGGCAAATGTCATTCACAAACGACTGCCTTGATACATGTCGGCACGTGGTCGCCAACTTTGCCTTTTGCAATTTGTCAATTTCGAGGATTGCCTGCAACTCATGTTCAGCTCCAAGTGTTCCTAACTTGTTTGTGGTTACCTTGTCGATCGCGTCAAGGACCGTGGGGGCACTTGTCGACTCCTTTGCCTGCAGCATCACATCAATGCGAACCATACATAGATCGTGGAGGGGGCGTGACGTACCTGAAGAAGGAGCTCCCGCGTTGCGTCCCGCCTGCACTCGTGTGAGAAAATTTGAAAATGACAATTTACGCGCGCATTTTTACAGTACTTGATGTTGGAGCTCGAAGAAAATCGAAACCGTCCAATTGGAGCATGTTCTTTCCGTGTTGGCGAGTACGAGTTGCGTCGGCGTACTTCCCGCTTGTCCATGTTGCCAGCGCCTCCCCGTTGCGATTCGTTCGCCGATCGGCTACATGACTCGTGGCTTTGACAACAGTCACGATGCGACAGGAAAACCTGTCATCAAGCTTGCCGGTGGCAGTAGCAGTGGCATTGCACGCAGATCGATGTTCGTCCACAGGAAGAATGCTCATGAGAAACTACATGATTCTCCATTAGGGAGGGATTGGAAGGGTCAGTTTACCTCAGAGATCATGGGGGTGCTGTCACACCACGCAAGGAATTGGTCAAACGTCATGCGCTCGTTCTTGTCGTTCACGTGGTTTACGAACGCGTCCTGGACAAGTTGATCCAAGTCCACTTGCTGGAAGTCTGCATGAGTCTGGAAAATACAATGTCCCAATTAGGACTCCATGAATTGCATCGTCGACTGCTACATTGTCGTTGGACGCAGACATCATCTTCATGCCCTTGAGGAGAATCATCGCCGACTGTGGAAACTGATGGATCATGGTCGTCATTTCGCGCTTCGAAATCGACCCCTTGCTACGGAAGATCAGCATGAAGTTGTGTGGGCTGTTTGCGATTATGCACCGCACTCGGATACGTCATAGAGGTCAAAGATGAACTTCATCTTTTCGTTTCGAGACCCCCTACGCAACGCTGCATGAGGATGCGTCTTCACGCCACGTGGCTTTCTACTTGGTAAGAATCGCGAGACCACCGATGAACTCGTTGAACGTGATGGAATTGGAGGCGTTCTTGTCGAAGACAGCAAACAGTCGTTCTGTGAGGACAACAGGATTGAGAGACTCATTGCATAGGTATGTGCACCTTACCGCCGAGGAGACCGGGCATGGGGAAGATCTTGAGGAAGTTTTCCTTGTCAACCGAGTTGTCCGCCGTGGTCTGCGTGATGCCTTTGAACACTTCACGCAAAAGATGGATCTCTGCATCTTCGAAGCGTCGAATCGCGTCTTTCTCTTCCCCAGAGAGCCCATGGATGCCATCCATGCGGCCGCTCACAGTATTTCCCATCCTTGGTCCCGCGGGGTCTGTCGGCGGTTGAGTGGACAGCTCGCTCGATCTCGCTCCAGCGTTTGTGTAACCGACACCAACGTATTCATTTTCAAAAGGTTATTCTTTTAAAGAGTTTATACCACAAGCGACACACAGCTGGAAGGGTTGACATCACCCACGTTACGTTGTGTCGGGACAGAGCCAGGAGCTCGTCGCATGATGCTTCTGCATGTCTCTAAACTAACCGGATGAAGTGGGTTGGCTTGCGGGGTCGTCTCAGATGTCCAACACTGGATGCCTCTACAGGTACGGGGGGTTGCCATGTGGGTGGGAGCAACTTTATTGGCTAAAATGACTAGTTTTTTATCGAATCAAATCGGATGAATTTGAAACATGCAGTACTATTGGTTGAATATAATCCAATAAAATTTGACCATGCGCAAAGTCAGGCGAGACCAGGTTTTCGACTGCGCACTCGCAATGGAGACAGCAGCGGCCGACCGGCCGTGTCTGCATTGCATGCGACCATACAACGCGTGAGTCCCACTTTGTGCAGCACTTGATTTCCACAACAATGCCAAGGCATTCCGATGTCTTCCTCGAATGAAACTGCCATCGGTTTCGTTCGCGTTGTCGCAACAGAGAGGAATGAGCTGGGACCTGAGCCACCTCGGCGCCAAGTACCCATGGCTGCAAGTGAATGCGTCGACGTTGGAAGAGTTCCGAGCACCTTTCGACTGGTCCAAGAAAGCGACACCAGGATGTCGCGAAGAAGACGATAAATCCACCAAGAAGTCCAGTCCTCCTTCTCGTCATCGGCGCCACAAACCCCATCACAAAGCCATGCCGTCTCACACAACCGCCCGCCAAGTGCTTCTTATGAACACCCGAGATCACTTAACCGATGCTGTTGTGCTTCAGCGGTACGAGCAGTCGTCTGTCCAACTAAGACAAACCAAGAGCATGGTCAATGTTCTTGAACCACGAGAACCAACGTCGCCATCATCGACAAAGCATGAAGTAGAAGCACCTCCCCCCCCATTAGCGACACTTAGAGTAGGTACTCAAGTGACGACCGTTCCGTGCACATTGCAACGAACGAAAGGCCCAACAGCATCACTGTTCATTGCGTCCACTACATGTCACAAAGCAGCGCCCACGCCTTCGCATGTACACCCCCGAACGTTCGCATCGCCACCGTCGCACCACTCAGCAGCCCAAACTTCAACGAAGAAGCGATCGATGCACAAGGACCATCCCGCAGCCACCCATCCCGGTGGACTCTTGCAGCCGTACGCAGCTCCCTCGGCGCAGTCCTTTCAACCATCTCAATATCATCATCGCTCGGACAACACGAATTCGGCTGCTATGCTTGCCAAGCAATCGCAAGACCTCCACGATGCTCTTGCAAAAGTCAAGAGCGATGAGCTCGCCCTCCTCGTGCGCTCGTACCTCTCATGCCGTTTGAGTGCTCATGACAGCTTCATAGAAATCGGTTGACGAGACCATCGAAGCACAGCGCGCTACCATCCCACTGCAATTTCTTTTTGAACGAAACATGTCAGCATATTGCATCGAGAAAGGCGTGGAAACGATTCTGCATGTGTTTTCGACCCTCCAAGTACGTCTCGACAGGTTATCCCGCGGGCTCATATCCTCCTAGGCCAAGTACCTCTGTCAAGGCTTTACAAGATGGCACCAAGTCACGTACGCGATGCTGTGCTCGCTTGCACCTGTCGATTGCTGCTTGATATGTCGTTGGCTTTAGAACGGCACTTCGAAAGGCAGAAATTCGGCGGGCCACGGAACAACGAGTTCGAGCCAATGCAATTGCACTCTTCAATCGCGTTGCGGGGGATTGCTTGATGGGCAATACAAAACGCGCATTGCACCGGTACGGAAATGGCGGCTCCTCGAAATGCCCGCTGACGCGAGAAATGGTAGATGGCATCGAGCGGTCCAGCGAATGGTGGCGGACGAGCGGAATGCGGCGGCCACGACAATTCAAAAGCACGTCAAGCGCCGCCGCGATGCCCGGTTTGTGCAGCAATTGCGGGAGGAACGCGCTGCAAGCGATGCACGCAACGCTGCTCGCATTCTGCAGGTTTCAAAATGAACGATGTGACCAGACGATGACGAAGCGTCTTGTAGCTGCTTGCGTTGGAAGCGTCTGGAAGGAAACAATTGTGGATCATTCGGGAGCATGCAGGAAGGATCCGCGAACGCAGAGCCTATGAAGCGAAGATGCGCGAAGAAGCAGCCCTTTCGATCCAGAGAACTTACCGTGGTTTTCGTGGACGCGTCCACGTGCAAAACTTGCGGCGCCTTGTGGCAGACGCATTTGCCGTGGCGGAAGCCATCAAGCAAGCGGCATTGCAATCGCTTCGTAAGAATTCGACGTTTATCCAAAGCATCGTTCGGATGTTCCTCGTTCGGCTTCGCCTGCACAACCAGCGCATGCTCGATGCAATTCGCTCCGACAACGCCCTAACGATCCAGGTTATCACAGTGTCCACCAATACGTATCCTAATCTTGTCATGTTCGTAGCGAGCGTGGCGAACAAAAAAAGGCAAGAAGGTCATGGCATCCCGATTCGCCAAACGAAAGATGTCGATGGAGGAAATTGCCGAGCGTGAAGCATTCATGGCGCGGCAGAGATTTTACGCTGAGATGGAGAAGAAACGCCAGGCAAGCGCAATTGTTATGCAACGCCGCATCCGTGGATACCTCGCAAGAAAGCATGTTCGCCTCATGCGCAATGCGCGGCGACTCGATCATGCCGCAAGGCGAATGCAAGCAGCTTGGCGAAAGTCCAAGGGAAGGTACGGAAAAATTTTCCGGAAATTGGATTTTGCGCGCGCAAAACTCCTCAAACTTGAATTGTTTCGTTGGGGCGCAGGTTTCATCTACATCTACGGTTCCTGGCACAGCGGGAGCGGCTGAAATGGGTGCGGGAAGCGGCATCTTTGCGCATTCAAACGCAGTGGCGAAGGCACCTCGCATGGAAGGAATTACAGAAGCGACGTCGGCGACGAGATGAATCGATTGCCGCTGCTGCAAGGAAGGAAGAGTGGAAGCGGCAGCAAGAAAAACGAGCCACTGATATTTCACGAGTTTTCCGAGGATACGTGGTGCGTCGAAAGATTAAGGTGGCTGGTGAAGCCGCAACGAAAATCCAACGATGCGTGCGGCTCTGGCGCGGACGGAGGTTGCGACAAGTCATGAAGAACATCCGCGCTGAGCGCAAGAAATTAGAAAATGCATCCGCAATAGAAATCCAACGACACGCACGTGGTTTGTTGGGACGGCGACGAGCCGCCTGCCGTGCAAGTGAAGTGGTTGCCGAAATACACAGAAAGCATGTTGCTGCAGCGAAGCTTCAGTCTCGGTACATCATTTTGACGTTGTCTGCTTTATCATCAAGCTCATGAGCACTACAGGATGCGAGGACTCCAAGGAAGAAGAGCAGTGACGATCCTGCGACGAGCGCATGTAGTGGTGCAAATGGAATCCCGACAATCCTTACACCGCTCTGGAAAATCTATGCTTGAATTGGCAATCATCAACGTCGACTTGGATTCCACGGCAGGAATCGAAGCATTAGAAGCTGCAATACACTCAGCTGAGCGTAAAATTCACGAGTATGACAATGCCGCAGGGCAGCTTCAGCGAGTGTATCGAGGTCGAGCGGGGCGAAAAATCGCCAATAAGCGACTGGAGGTACGAGAGGCATTGCCTACTAAAGTATGAACACATGGCCCAGGAGAAAGTAGCGCAAGACAAACTGGTATATGAAAGCGCACGGGAAATTCAACGAATCGTTCGGGGGCGTCGAGATCGCCGCAGAGTCACGCGCCTCAAAGCCGACCTAGTGAAAGAAGCATTGCGGGAAGTCTATCGTCGTGAACGCGTTGCCCTTGAAGACAAGAAGAAGTGGGTGGAGCAGTTGGACATGGAACAGTATAAGGCCGATACAGTGCTTCGAAAGGAGCGCGAGCGAAAGTTGCAGATTGCCCAGCAAGAAGAAGAAATTGCAAGGTTGGATGCGCAAACCAATGCGTATAAACTACAGGCGTTGGAGGCGCAAAAGGTATTTGGAAGAAGTCGCTGTTGTGAAATACATTTTCATGGAACTCCTCTGCACAGACACTCAAGGCAGCTCAACTTGCTGCTTGGAAACCCATGAATGACGGATTCGGCAATATATTTTACAGCAACGAGCTGACTGGGGAAACAACATGGGACGTGCCCGATGTTTTGCTACCGAAAGTACAACTCGTCGAGCGAGAAGAAGACTGGGAAGAATTGTATAACCCTCACACGGGCCAGATATACAAGCACAATCGTGTCACTGGGGCTGTTAAGATGAACGAAGGCCTGATCCACGTAGGTGGCGAGGCAATAGCAACAACAATACCCATTTCTTCAGAAGCTGCTGCGATCGTGGAACCAATTGGAGAATCACCGCAGTTGTCATCGGACGCACCACCAAACCTGGCAAAATTGACTGTTGATGATGACACAGCTATTCCGTCAAAAACATCTACAAATTGTGTTTGCTGGCGATGCAAGAAGCAGCCTGCAGTAAAGGAATGCGTGAATTGTGAAAAAGACCGATGTTTCTTCTGCGCGGCGTGCTTTACAAAGGAACATAAGGCAGTGACGAAGAGAACTCACGACTTCAAGCGATTGAACAAAGATGGAAGCCTCTCGGTACTCTTAGCTTACTTTTCAAGTTTTGACATAACTTTGCATGTAGTGTGGGATTTGTTTCCAGTGCGACAACCGTGCGAGCTATCACTGCTCGACGTGCGAGTCTGGATTCCAGTTCACGTGCGAAAAATGTTTTGCTTCGACACATGCGACCTCAGAGTACACTGCACACAACACAACTCACTTCCGCCCAGGATCAGCATTGTGCAGCCAATGCAACAAAATGGTTGCACTCCGTGGGTGTCCCGAATGCCAAGACAAGTTTTGCGTCGAATGTTTTGGGCTTACCCATGCCAAGGGAAAGAAGAAGACTCATGTTCCAAACGTGCTAAACGTGGTCAAGATGCCGCTGGGTGACGATACCGACGCATATTGCACCGAATGTGACGTCGAGTTGTGCACGAAGTTGTGCAACTTGTGTGGCGACGGGTTTTGCGACTCCTGTTTTGCAACGCTGCATGCCAAAGGTCGAAAAGCAGAACATACGTATGTTGCTTGGAAAGAAATCACTCAAGCAGGGGACTGGATTGAGATCTATGAAGGCAAAATCCCCATGTACTACAATATTGTGACCAAGGAGGGTTCTGCGGAGAAGCCAAGTGTGTTGTTGTTGGGTGTTGAGCGGCATCGTGACATGATTGCTGAAAAAGTACGAGAACGAAAGAAGGCAGAGGGCGAGAAGGAGAGCGAATTGGTCTCACTACGCGAGCAAGTCAAGGCTTTGGAAGAGGCAGCAGAGTTAGCCCGGCGGCAAAAGCAGGAACTTGAATTGCTCAATGAAAACCCACAGGTTCTGGCGAAACCATTGAAGAAAAAGTGGTGGAAGTCCAAGGCACAACTGGCCAGAGAAAATGCCGAGAGGGAGAACCAAGTCGTACTGTCTCTCATGCTCACGAAGCAGCGACAAGAACAGCTCCATCGACAAGCCATGGAAATTGGGTCCAAGGAATATGCCAACTCTATTGTTGCAGACATTGTCCAGGCAGAGTAATACCCTCCCGTCTGGAGCATTGGTTTGTTCGCCTCTGACTTCGTTTTATCCTTTGTCACTGGCTCCAAATGTTCAATTTCGCCTCTTTCGCTTGATTTTCCAAAGCATTGAAATTGTCCAAGAGGCCGCCATACTCTGCACCAGACAACCGATACACCTTGGCCAGTCCACGTCGAAGGAGCACTTCCGATACGTTCTTCGTTCCATTCCACCACGATTCGCGATATGCCACCATGCACACTACCCGCGAAGTGAACTCGTAGTATTCCTCCAAGAGCGCGCACCTGCTCGACCGTACTGATCACGTCGCAGGAGGGTCACCGTGACAACTCTGTCCTTGAGCTCATTCAAAAGCCACGCCTTGGCCTCCTTTGCATACGGCTGGCATTCCTTGCCTACCGCATTGATCCTCCGTCATCCATACACGAGTTAGGGTTGCAAATTCCACCAAAATGCGGCATTTCGGGGGTGTCTACTCCCGCCAGTCGAATCTGAAGCGTGTGCTCCTTGAGTTTCTTGGGAGGGAACGACCCCACACCTCTGTTTACACATATCGTGCCCCATTCATTCGTCTTTGCTTCCGTCAAGGTAATGCATCGTGTCGACGCACCTGAGCCATGGCATGTGTCGCATTCGAAACGTATCGCCGTCAGACACAGCGACGACGGTCCCTCGTAGCCGCCTGTGCTGAGTGAACCATGCATCAGGGACGTCCTTGACGGTAGAGAGGCGGTGGAACGCTTGCATGATGTGCGGGGTGATCAAACCAGTGACGAGACCCGCAACGAACACTACACCCAGCTCCCACCGCGAGCAGCTTGGCCAGAGATCGCCCATTTTTGAATCAACCCCACGACATCCCCAGAGGTCACTCAAAATGTCCCACATCAAATTTGGAGATTGTGAACAAAAAATGCTGCAAGATATTATATTGACCTATATATATAGAGTAAGAACTCTCCAAGTAAACGATTACCAATTTATAGAGTGTTCGTGGATTCACTTACATGCACTTTAATGGTTATCGCATACAGCGTCCGAATCAGTTAACACAAGTATAGAGTCAAAACCTCTATAAACCAATTCGACATTGACAGTGAGCCCGCTACGTTTGCACTTTTTTCAAAATATAAACTTTTACAGGATAACAACTGCAGGAAGGCCGATGCTGCCTTGTCAAAAGGCCCCCAAGAACTTTATATCAATTATTTCTCACAGATATACATTTATAACAGGGTGCAAGCGTTGCAGGATCACTGTACGAATTTCAACATCAGAGTATAGAATATAGAGGGATAATTCCATTTAATTTCGGCCCTAACTCTAAGAATGGGCCGATTCGGACGCTGTATGCGATAACCATTAAAGTGCACCCATCCTACATATCCATTTGGTCATGAGAAATGTGAAAAATGACTGTGAAATGCTCACACCCGGCAATCATCTCTACACGAGATACAGTATGAGTAAAATACGCCACCAGTGTACCTTTTGCTATTTTTCTCTGGAAGACAGGTCAGCAACTTCAGTGTATATTTGATGAAATTTTGACAAAGTTTGACTGGTTTCGGTGAAATTTTTGTTGATACACTGTCAACGGCATTTCTCAAGGTATCCGGATGCACTTCTCGTGCGAAACGGCCATCACGAAAGCCGCCGTCGAAACGCCGGCGGCGCTTGAAAGGACATGGCAGCAGCACTACCACCATTGCACGTAAAGAAAATTCAAGTAGGAGTGGAAGTGCTGCCGCCAGTACCTTTGAGTTTGGACGAAGGAGAAGACCCAACGGAGGACGTTGTCGACGCCATCGTGAGGGAAGGCGGCCGTGTGCTGTACGAAAAGTACTTGAACGCATCGGTGGTGCCATACACATGCACGTGGGTGACGCGGTCGCTGGAAGAGCTCTTGGCAGTTGTGACGATGAACACTCAATGCGATTTTGTCGTGCCGACGTGGGACGCTGAGTCATCGGTCATTCCACTGGACAATTTGGCTCGAGCTATGGTGCCAGTAGCTCCAATGCATCAGTCCAAATACAAGATGGTGCTGAGGTGACAACAACTTTGCTATTGTCGAGGTTTCAAGCGCTTGCTTGATGTCGTAGTGTGCTCGAATCCGAAGACTCTTCTACCGACGTTGGCGATTGTATCGAGGTTAACTACGGCGTCCTCCAGGCGACCCGTTGATGAATGCAACTGTAGGCACCTCCATGGAAGCAATCGGACGGCAATAATGGAAGTGTGACTGACGGGGAGATATTTGTTTCAGTGTCAAGTCCTCACGTTCCTAGACCAGACCCCATTCTCGTCTCAGCTCCATCGGGCGACGTTGCGAACTACATCCAGCCCATTCAAGAACCTCCCGAAACGAATGCGGAAACGAGAAGACACGAAGAAGAGCGGCGGCGAAAGCTGCTCAAAGTGCTTGAAGAAGCCACAATTTCGCAACAGCAACAAGATCTCCTGGCGCAGCAGCGGTCGGCCCAGTCGTCCCGCCCGGTATCGTGTCCGTCAACAAGTCCGCGAAAGAGGAGATCCATGCAACAAAACTCGGTCAAAGACTCTGCTCAAACAAAACGAGTGGATGCCTCGCCCACGACACCTGCTGTCAGCATTGGTTTTGCCGTCTTTGACGTACAGTACATTGATGGCCGAGTGCACAAACGACCAGCATCTATGGGCTCAAAGAAGCCCCAGCCCACTACGACCCCACGATGCGACCGCACGATTCCTTCCAGACAGCAGAAAGATCCACCCAAAGTGACGTCCGGGACCGCTGAGCCAGTTCCTATCCCCGTGCTGTCAAGAGCACTCGTCCACGACGCCCCGCATGTCGACTACCAACCAACTTCATATGGAAACGTGTTGCAAGACCTTGTGCTCATGCCTGGAGTCAAAATATCGTCGCTCGCATCTCCGACCAAGCTACCATTACCTGAAATGCAGCCACCCAGCAGAATTCACGAGGGCTGCAAGGGTGACCATCCATCAAAGGATGGTGGCAATGCGGCTCGTGGAGCGACAACGACACGTCTCGATATCAAGCTGCAATCCGTACAATCCGTTCTCGAAGGGTCGTAGTGTCATGGACGTGGCGTGTATTGTAGAAGGCAGTGGAGCGAACTGCATCTTTGTTTGCCAAACCGCCGCCTCCATCCCCAAAGCCATCATCATCACAGGAAGAGCGGCGACGGCATCCTCCTGCCACCGATGTTGCCATGCGGGTACGACGATGCACAAACTTTTGTCATGGCTCAGTGAGTGTCTGGTAGATTCCACTATCCCCACCCAAGCCAGAAATCGCCCGACAGAACAGCCGACCTCGCACAACTCCATCACGTACGTGCACGCCTCCGAAACACATCTCACGGCATCTCGGCAGCTCTGGCAGTAAGCAGGCGGCCCACCAAACCAAAATAGCACTCTAATTATTGTTAACAATGCCCACTCGCACCCGCCTTTAGGAAATTAGTAGATGTCCCAAATGTGGTTGCGGAAAGCGCAAGATTATCTTGAGGGGTCACGGCACCACAACTGCACACGCCTCAATTGTCCATCCGAATTGCACACGTCTCAAATGTCTCTCCTGGAAATTACGTTTGCCTGTTCACACAAAAGTGAACGATAAATACTCTCCAATTGTTATGGTAATGCAAATGGCCAGATTGCATCCAGGTCCAAATCGACGGGCGGTCGTCGCATGGTGAGGTCGTCCGCGGTCAACGGTCCCAGCGATTGCTGCAGTTGATTTCGTGCCCAGGTTGACGAAGGAGGGGACGGTGCTACTACAGACACCTGCACGCCTTCCATAGCTTGGACAAGATCCAACAGCGATAGATCGTAAAACCTAGAGCAGTTCTCGTCGAGGACAAGCAGATTTAAGCGTGCCACGTACTCGCTGTCATGTAAGCTTGTTCGCAGAGGAAGCATGCACTTCGCCGTAGGTGATTGCGACATCGTCGTCTTTGAAGATGCCTGCGTCTCTGCGCTTCGCGTCTTTTTTGTTGCCCAACTTGGCCTAGATGCGACCTTGTTGCCCGCGTCCTCGTTAGCTATGTACTCGAAGCTTGACCGTCCGAATTGAACACCGATCGTGTGCGTGTCGACCTGATCCGTCTGAGTGTGGGAAGACGTCGTAGGCACAGGGAGCACCGGCTCGAGCGCCGCATCCATGCGGTGCTTCCACTCGAGAACGATGTCACGCATCTTGTCGGCGGCCGACAAGTTCAACAGCGTCGAAACGTCGTCGGAGGTTTGGTCTCTTTCCCGGTTCTACTTAGTCGTCAGAGTCGTTAAAGCGAGGTAGATACCTCCACATTGCGTTGAAGAGTATCGAGATGCTCTGCCAGGTGCAACCGCTGACGCCGTTCGGATAGCATTTCTTCCCGAAGACAGTCCAGTTGAAGTTCCCACTGACGCGCCGCCTTTCGCATAGCATCGTCATGATCGAGGCGGAGGACTTGCAGCGTATGTGCGTGTTCTTGCGCTTGCTGCTGGTATCGCGCAATGTCGGTTGCAGCAGCAGTCAGCTTGCCTTGGTCCAGCTCACACTGTGTCTGCATCGAATGCAGCCGCGCCTGGTACGACTTAAGCATGTCGAGGGATTGCGTCAGTTTTTTCTGGAGATCTTAGTGATGTGAGGACTGTGGCAGTGGAGTTAGTGCGCTCTCGAATTCGTACCATCCTTGTCGACAATGGCTTGGTCGAGAACGACCTTGACGTCGTCCAGTTCCTTTCGCAACTGTACGTTCTCGTTTCCGACCTTCATGAGCTGTCGAATCAACTTACCCACCTTTTGCTTGTCCTCGGGGCAAAGATGACTGATGCGAATGCGACTCTTGACGGTACCGAGCTGGGATGTCGGTTCAACTTCCACAGCGTCTTGCCGAATCGAAACAGTCTGACGGAGCTGCTTCCATTGAGACAAGGGAGCCGCAACACTCGATGGAACTGGAGCTTTCCGTGCTCTTGAGG